AATTAAACATAAAGCAAAGAACATTATAACATTTAATTGATATATATTAAAAACGTTCATGTTAAATAATAGCGGCCTTGAGTGAGTAAAACGATTTTTGAAATTTATAAGACGTGCAATATGCTGACAATAAAATGGCTTTAATTTATTTTTATGGGTACTACCCCATGCAATATTAGCATAATTAATATGACAGTGTATAAAAGAGTAATATAGTTATTTTATAAATGTTTGTTTAAAACGCTTCTTGCTTTATATAAAACTCCAATGCTTTTTTGCAATTTTGTTGCATAAATGTCCGATGTGATTCTTCCATGATAAATTTTTATCTACAATGATACCTAGAAAATTTGTGAAAATTACTCTTTTTATTTGAATATTATCAATATGAAGAAGAGGCATATTACTTGGAAGTAAATGTAATTTAAAAAGTGGATGAAAAAAAATCCATTTAGTTTTATCAATGTTGAGTGAAAGTTTATTTGACTTAAACCAGTCAGATATTTTTGTTAGTTCAATGTTCATATCATAAAAAAGTTTATTGATGTTATTATTAGATAGGAATAGGTTTGTATCATCAGCAAACATTATAGTTGTTAATTTTGAGACTTCATGGAGATCGTTAACCTAAATTAGAAATAATAAAGGTCCTAGTATAGATCCCTGTGGAACTCCACAAGTTATATTTAGATAATCTTGTGAGGAAGGTCCGTCGACATAGACAAATTGTTTGCGATGTTTTAAATAGCTTTTTATTAGTTTTGAAACATTACCAGTAAAACCATTATGTTCAAGTTTTTTAAACAGTATTTCGAGGTTAATTGTGTCAAATGCCTTAGATAAGTCTATGAAGACGCCTAAAGTAAACTCTGACTTTTCGAATGAATCAGTTATACTACGAGTAAGATGAATTATTGCATGTTCAGTAAAGTTATTTCTTTTAAAACCGTATTGATTTATGTAAATTATATTATTAACAGCAAGATGATTAGATATTTAGTTGAACATAATTCATTCTAAAATTTTTGAAAAAACAGAGAGGATAGATATTGGTCGATAATTACTGACATTTGAAGGTTCACCTCCTTTAAATATAGGTGTTATTTTGGCTATTTTTAATTGATTGTGGAAAATTCCTTGATTTATAGAACATTTAAAAACTTTAAAAATATCTAGTTTCAAGTTGCTTACACAATTTACAGATTAACGTTTTGTATTAAAATGTAATAAAATAACTATTTTTGAAGAAAAAGTAAAGTCACTTACCTCAGAGCAATACAATGCTTTTTATTGTTTTTTAAGTAAGACTGAATACAAACTTCTGAGCGCTACTCTATTTTCTCCTAATTTGTCAGTCGATGTATGTACATTTATTTACGCCAATCCCTATTTGTCAGTCGATGTATGTTTTTTTATTTACGCCAATCCCTATATGTCACTCGATGTATGTATATTTATTTACACCAATCCCTATATGTCACTCGATGTATGTATAATTATTTACGCCAATCCCTATATGTCACTCGATTATGTACATCTTAAAATGTGAATTAAATTTATTATGTTTAAATTTTGATGACAATAAAAACCGGGTCGCGTAGATAAAAAAATAATTTCTTTTTTTAAAACAGTGTTAAAATATGTTTAAAAGATGATAGAATATTAGCGTTTTTAATGTGGTTTTTTATACTTTAACATCAAATTAGAGTACGTTCCACAAGTTTTCAAATATATGTTTTTATATGATTCTGAATCAGTATAATTTATAATATTATAATAAATCATAAAAGCAGGGGGGCGGGGGAATAGCGCCAAACTCTGTAAATATATTTCTTCTTATTGTGCCATCAACTGAGCAACTTAAATGATCTTTAATAGTAACCACTTTGTTATTTTCATGAATAAACTTATCCGATAAAGTTTCATAAAACATATTTACAAGATCATTAATTTACCAAATCCTCAAACAATATCGTCGGTTTTTAATCTTTTTAGAACATCTTCAATTAAGTTATAGACCATGCTAAGACATTAAAATTCAAAAACTCTTATTTACGATTTAAAGTTTCGAATTCAAATACTAAATGGTTTCAAAGCTATTTGTCAAATAAGCAACAATACATTTTTTTAGCTGCGGAGAAACTGATAGTATGAATATAAACTGCAGGGTTCCCCAAGGGTCAATTTTAGGACCACTCCTTTTTTTAATTTATATTATAATGACTTAAGCAAATCTTGTAACTTATTAGACACTATTTTATTTGCTGATGATTTGTTTCATACCCACCATGATATAAAAATGTTGTTTAACTTAGTTTAAATGGAACTCTTAAAACTTACTGAATGGTTTAATGCAAATAAATTATCAATTAATTTAACTAAAACAAAGTATACATTTTTCCATCGCTTTCATGAACGCGATAAAATCCCCTTAAAACTTCCATTACTTTGTATTAGTAGTCAAGCTATAAAAAAAGAACACTCTTCAAAATTTCTAGGCGTACTCCTTGACGAAAATGTAACTTGGAAAGGTCATATACATTATCTTGAAGGTAAAATCTCAAGAAATATAGGATTACTTTATAAGGTGAGGGTTTTATTAAATCAAACTTGTTTAAAACTGTTATATTTCTCCTTTATTCATTGTTATCTGAATTACGCAATCATAACTTGGTGTACCACAAATCAAAATAAATTAAAAAACTCTTTAATAAGCAAAACCATGCTATCAGAATATTATAATAAATAAGAATAGATACTTAACCAGATACTCAAGCCACACTTATATTCAGCCTAAAAGTTTTTTTGCAGCAACGGAGTTTTCAATATCTATTAGAGGGCCAAAAGTATGGAATAAATTTATATCTAATAAACTTAAAACTCATGAAACTCTTAACGAATTCAAAGCAAAACTGAAACAAATGCTTCCGTTAGTGACGGAGTGCATGACTTTTTCTGGTAATACAGATAAGCTTTTTCAATTTATTTCAAAGTTTATCTTTCCAACCTATTGTCACTTTGGGCGAATCATAACCTATATATTTAAATATATACATACATATATATATATATATATATATATATATATATATATATATATATATGTATATATTTAAATTTATATATATATATATATATTTTTTTTTTTTTAATGGAGAGATTCAGATCCTTATCGACTTTACTTTTTACTAATATTATTAATTAGTATTTAATCTTAATTAAATAACATTTTTTATTTATTCTTATTTTAAAAGAGTTAAACCAACATTTTTTTTTTCTTTTTTGTAATTTGTAATTTGTAACTTTTTCTTTGATTTTTTCAAAAGAATATAAATTTTTTCACAAGTTATAGGTTGAAAAAATTTTTTTTTATGTATTTATTACTCTTTTTATATATTTTTAGTATTTTTATATATTTATTACCAGAAAATCTTATATCTTATATACTGGTTACAATTATATATGCTGTAAGTAATAATTTTTATTTTATGGAGTCAATTCTCGGGGCTTAGTGATAAGACAATTTGTGTCTTCTTCTTGCCCCAGCCATCTGTATTTAAACTGAAATATTGATTGTATGTATATATACTTAGATAGTAAAAAAAAAGAAAAAAAAAAAAAGAAAAGGAAATACTTTGTTGTATATTTTCAACCAATCAAAAAACTGCTGCAAATACTGATAAGTATAGTTTACACTACGATTTTTAATAAAGTTTTATCTTTAAACGAATCAGATTGCTACTTTTAAAAGGGTAAACCAACTATCCGATTTTCTCATATCCTGCAAAGTATAGTTTACATTAGCTATTTTTATAAAACAATTTTTGCAACCTCTGCAAAACATAATTTTCACTGTGTTTTTCCTTATTGTATTTTTTAACAAAATATAACAAATATATAAAGATCGGCAATTCCTCAGTGGCGGATTTTAGGGGGAGGCATGAGGGTAATAGCCCCATCCTTAGGACTTTTTTTCAGAAATATTCTTTTGTAAGTTGACTGTTATACAGAATACTGGCAAATAAAATTAACTATTATGTGAAATTACACGTATATGAACTTGATTATTTTACTAATGTATAAAATATTAAAAAAGAAAGTTACTTATAAATGAAAAAAAATGCGGACCTTTTTTTTTTTTAAACCTTTGTAGCCCTCTCCTTGGCGAGTGACAAAAACCGCCCCTACAATTCGTGTTAAGTGGGTGTTAGACGTCATAGTACCAATATTTATATTTACTTTTTTTACCCCGTCTCATGCAGCACTTGACGGGGTTTAAATCCGCCTCAGTGGTGCATTAAAATGTATTTCTTGCTGTTTTATATCAGAAAACGTTACACCCTAAGTAACCTATGTATATAAATATTTTTAACTTTACTCACATTAAAAACAAAATTCTGTCCAAGTTATATTTATTTACTGATAGTTGTAGAGGTCTGTGAAAAAATTGTAAAAGCTTCTACTAAGCTTCTTCTTTTTGTTTGATCTTTTTCAACTAGAGATTGAATTTGACCTTATAGCTGAATGGAACTTTCTTGCAACGTCCTAGGAAAAGTAACCATGTGACAGTGTTTGCGGTACTATAAAAAGGTTGAGAGCTATTTGAAACGATCATATTGAAACCGAATTCTCACATGTGAGGTCATGTATGATTTTTGAATTAAAAAAATCAAGGTGGATACTTTTACATAAAACTTTCGGAGTTACAATTGCAACGTGAAGTTACAATTACGTGTAACAAGTCTACCTGGTACTCATAGCTTTCATCAGTTTATAGATCTCATAGCTTTCATCAGTTTATAGATTTAACAAGGTTGGGACAAATAGGTGAAGTTAAAACAATAAGTAAACAATAACTCATAATCTTAAAAGAAACAAGTTATATTTCAACTTCATACTGTTACTTTTGAGGTTATGTAGCGGTAGCGATGATAGGTTGTATTTCAGATTTGTATTTGAAACAATTTGTTTGAAGTAAAATGCAAAATAAATAATAAAACTTTATCTAGATTAACTTTATTCTTTATTTCTTTTTTTACATTTTTAATATTATTATTTTTAACTAACAGAATTTACAAGTCTTTCGACAGTACATTTTAAAATAATCGGGATGTTGGTTGCAATCATTTATAAATTGGATGCAGTTAACATGTTTATCAACGCACGCACCTCCTAAAAACAAACAAATAATAAAGTAATTAAAATTTCAAAATGAATATAAATAATTATAAAGTAAAAAGATTTCCAAAAAATTAATTTAAAAAATGAACTAAAGAATAATTATAACTAAGATAATTAATTATAAAATCATGTTTAAAAAATTATAATACCATGATAATATGAATGTTATGAAAAAAAAAAGTCAAGTATATATATATAAAAAAAAAAAAGCTTTGAACAAATTGTGCAATATAATTAAATGGAATGTTTAGCGCTATTTATAAAAAAACAAAATTACCTATGGTTGGTGGAACTGGGGTCTTAGGTGGTGTAGTCCTAGGCCCCGCCGTATATGTAACAACTGGCCCGTCTGTTTTTGGTCCTCCTCCATCACCGCATAAACCACACGCTCTTCGACAAGCACGTGTCATATAAGATTTCCATTCCGGTTTGTTGCAATTGCCTTCTGCAACACCTGATGCACACGCACCTCCAGTATTATAACATCCTTTTGCATAGAAGAAACATTAATATTTTATAATTATACTTTTATTGTTATTCTTTTTATTTTTTTATTTTTTTCGTAATATATTGTAATATTAAAATTTCAGACACAAAAATCTTATATAAATATTATTATTTTAGATTTTATTACATAAAACCTATCGTTTTTTAATATTTTTAACATTTAAAAAAATTGACTTTTTTTTTCAATAAAATTTTCTAATAAAAAAAACTCATAATTTTTTTATAAGTATTTATAAAATATGATTACTAATTTCGAAACTTTTAAAAATTAAAAAAAAAATTTCACCCCATCCTAGTTTGAATAGACATTTGATTGTATGAGAAATAATTACACCTCAAATAAATATCTTACCTGGAACAACAACGTAATCTGGAGGTGTTGGATAACTTCCACCTAAACGCAGTAGTTTAATCTTGTTTATACATATTACTATCAATTATATCTTTAATTATTATAATTGAAAAAAAAAGCAGCATAATTAATTTTAGTCTTTAAATAACACCTATGCTTCTTGTATTTTTTTTCAAACAAATACTAAAAAAATAAAAAATAAAAATCCTCACTGCATCTATACATTTTGTTTAATTGAATTACGTCTGATCTAGAAAAGCCTTCGTCCTGTCCAATATGATATTGGTATTCTTTGTTGAGAGTGATGATAGAAGGAGAATTTGTATTCACAGCAAATGCGTTCCAAGAATAATGCATCATCGATAAATAGTCATATGGTGAACCGTATGAATTAATGTCTCTTGCGTTTTCTTTTTCAAAATTGAAATAGGTACCTATTTAAAAACCAATTGTTAAAACAAAAATAACATGCTATGATGAGGAGGTTCGATTTAATTACTCATTATAGAAATGACGTAAAAGAAAAATGGGCAATAAATATTTACCAGGACTTATGTTACTTTTAACAATAGTAACAAAACTATCTCTGTCAGGTCGGGTTTGTTCATGATGGAAACCTAAAAAAAAAAAAGAAATAAATCAATTTGTATCTTTTTCAGGGCAGGAATGAAAAGTCTTGTTTTTTGGAAAAAAATGACTTAGGAAAATTAAAAATATTTAGAAGGAGGTTATACCTTTACTACCAATAAATATCTATTTAACTTTGAGTAAATACAATGTTAGTAAAATTCAAAATTTTTATTTATAGGCATTCAAAACGTTCAAATTTAATATTCCATACAAAATATCTTTACATGAAACTAAATAGGTAGCATGTTAGGTATTATGAGGTAAGTCAGTATTATGGGTCCCATCTTAACGCTTTTAGTTTTACTTTAATTTCACATGATATCAATGTTAATTCCTTTTGATAACATAAGTTTAATCATGCTTTTCACACGTTCTATAAGTCTAATTCTCAGAAATAGTTTTTTCATAAAATGCAAAAAGTTTTATATAATTATTCTACTTAATTATGCTCAAAAATAATTTATTCCATAAAACTTTTAGTTAACAAACATTTTACGTCGAAATGATTTGATGTTGCATTATTAATAACTTTATTCTAAATATAAAATTTTTATGCTTTTAGTTTGTATAATGTTTTATAAAACTTACCTAAGCTTATAAAACTTTTTATAAAACTTACCTAAGCTGTGTCCAACTTCATGCAAAACAGTTGATTTACTCCAACATCCTTCAGAAAGCGATACATCATTTCTCCTCCCCTTAGTATACCCAACATACGATGAACAACTAATAAAAAAGCGATACATCATTTCTCCTCCCCTTAGTATACCCAACATACGATGAACAACTAATAAAAAAGCGATACATCATTTCTCCTCCCCTTAGTATACCCAACATACGATGAACAACTAATAAAAAATTATTTTTTTAAATATAATTATATTTAATTACATTACATTATATTTAATATATATTAAGTAATAAATTAATTCAAAAAATACCTTGAATAATAATCATACGCCAAAGTGTTTATGAAGACGTTTTTTAATAACACTAATCCGTCGATTTAAAAAAAAAAATTAACTCACCCGCTACCGCGCCAAAATCTGATATATTCCGCCTCATTTGTTCTTAATTTAAATCTTAAGCAGGTGTATTTATGATAATCAGCAATTGCACTTTCGATCCCACTTTTTGCTTTTCTTTCATTAGCTAAACAAATCCCCAAAGAAAAAGGTTATATTTTAAGAAGTTAAAAGTTCGTTAAAATAGTCTCTAACAATAAAATCATTTTTAAATCCTAAAATACCATTTGTATATAAGCACACCTAAGGATGAATCTATGACGTAAGGTACAACAGCATTAGGCCACATCTTGCTTAAATCTCCAAGTGCTGAAAATGTAAAAGTTCCATTTCGAACTTCTTCTATTTCAGATGGCGATAATATCATATCTCCTTGATACAAATTCGGATCTAATAAAAAATGATAATAAAACATAGGGAATATGCATATATACTTAGACACACACACACACACACACACACACACACACACACACACACACACACACACAAAGAGAGAGATAGAGAGATGTAATAGATGTAATAGATAAAATAGATGAGATAAAAAAAATCATACTTTCCATATCTCTGACCCATGCGCTAGCACTAAGAATAAGACTGCAATAAACAAAAATGCTGTACATTTTGTAACTAAAAAAAGAATTTATTTTCGATTATAAAGTTTTAAATAAAACAAAGGAATTAAATAAAAAGTTTCAAATAAAAGTGTATAAATGTGCTTTTTTTTAATACAAAACATAAAGTTAAGTTTAGTTGGTTTTACTTTTTAAATGATTATAAACCAATTTAACTACTTATGCTAGAACTTTGTGTATCCAGTTGTATTTTAAGTCATACCTCCTCGCAATTAAAACTAATCAATTTATAACAATTTTATTGTAATAAATAATGCAGCTGAAAATATTGGCAAATAAGGATGTATCAATAAACTTGTCTAAGCTTGCAAAAAGAGCAACAAAGAATTTTTTCCCGTCGAACATTTAATAACTAATTTTATCTGATTTTTATATATTATGTTTTATATAACTTTTATAAAATGATATAAAATATTGACACTAGAGCTTAAATGTTGAACAGCTTTAAGAACTTCATTCTTTTTCTGGACACCTTGTTTTTAAATTTAGACTTAATTTTAGCTAAAGTGTTATGTTTAGATCAGCAATTTTTGATTCTTATTCAAAAATCTAAAAAGGTTATGAACTAATCTAAGCAATATACAAGTGCAGTATGCTATAAGTGATCTAAGTAATAACAAAAGTTATTTCAGGTTTAGATAAAACTGGTATCTTTTAATGAATTATTTTCGTAAAATGAGTTTTTGATATTATTGACCCTTCCATTTTTTCATACCTTTGATTATTCAAGTATTATTCTAAATAAGTTAGTAATTACCGAACATATTTTTAACTAACTTAACTTTGAATACTTCAAATTTGAGACCATTTTAAAACTTATCCAGAAACTAACAAATATTTTACGTTATATTATATGTTATAGAAACACTATAATTCTCCTAGCACAAAGCAAAAGGTATTTTAATTTACACCATATGGTTTTATGCGATACAAGATTTACTTGGCTGGTTATTATGCCACTTTAGTTTTTATAAAAAAACTGTAATAAACAAAACAATCTTTTATAAAAATAATTCAATTTGTTTACAAATGATTATAATTTGTTTGCAGTTTCATAATGAATTAAATACTCCAATCACAATCGCTAGAAAACGTGCAGTTCTACATTCAACATATTGTAATTCAAGAATCAGTAAACAATTGTTAATCAATGGAGTTTATGCAGCACAGGATTTAGGGGCAAAATCGTCGCTGCACGAGTGCGGCAAGTAAATTGGGGTGGAAATTTTGATATTTTACATTGTAATTTTGTAATTGTAAATTAAAAAAAGTATTTTTTGTAAACAAAACGTTCCTTTTTATGTTAAATGTAAGTTAAACATTTTGTTGCAATGTATTATTTTTCACTTCGATTTGTTATAATTTTTCATATAATTTTCTAGCGAATTTATAACTTTGTCAAATACAGGCGTATAAATTTATAACTTTGTCAAATACAGGCGTATAAATTTTGCACGAGAGTGATAAGCTGAGGTCAGCACTGAGTTTTGGTCTACTGATTTTATTCAAAAATATATTAAAAGATAAGTGAACTTATCAGTATGACACACTGTGGAAAATAGTACTACAAATTTCAATTTCTATACTGAAATTATATTTTAATTTTTTTAAATAGTTTAATCTTTACTATAATGTAGTTTTAATCTTTACTATAATGTAGGAATTTTAACTAATTTTATGTAAAAAGATCATTTTTGAAGCCCTTCTGTTTTATATTTTTGTACATGTTCAATCGAAACTTATTTGCTACATCACTTTAAAAGTTTTTTTCTATAAAACTTTTTATGAATAAGTATAAAGTGTTATACCTTTTTGAAAGCATCATGTTATGGAGATTTTAGAATAAATTCATATTTTTAATTATATGATTTTGTTTACTAATAATTAACTGAATTATTAAATGAGTTAAAAAATTAAAAATCTTAAACTTCACCGATATTTTTGGCAGTCACCCACACTTTCCAACGCTTTATTTTTATAATTGATTTATAACTTAGGTGTCTATAAAAATGATTTATTACAAACCAGGTGCGGATACGTGCAGTTTCTAAACTTATTGATAAAAAAGTAAAAAAAGTCAGAAAACGCTAAAACGGAAAACGCTTTTTTATCCTGGTTTCAGACTATATCTGTTTATAACAATAGTTTTGCGTAAGTTTTTCTTTTGCCAATTTTTTTATTGAGAAATAATTTAAATGGACATGCATTCGATTATTTTTGCATTTTGAGGTGAAAATGTTATCAGCAATATTTGAACCCTGCATCATTTAAAAAAAAAATTTATAAAGATTCGAAAAACATAAGCAAGAATCTTAATGAATGGAACAATTATTGAATGGGACAAAATCAGATTCTCATAGAAGCGTCTACGGTTAGAAATTCAAACTCCTTTTGTTAAAAAGTGTTAGATACAGCTATTCATTAGATTTAATCATTATTTCTATTATGGCTTTAGCATAATGGCATCAGATGATATTGTGTTTTAACGAACAAAAAGTAATTTAGAAAAATAAAATTTTCTTTTCTTATTTTACTGAAGTTATGAAAAATTAAACTCTATTTTTAAATACACAGTTGTCTCTAGTTTTAGACCATTTTTTTAAAACCATTCACGTTAAGGTAATTTTGTTTTTAGTCTGGCTCTTCTTTTGTGGATAAAGTGAGATGCTTATTGAATGTGACAAAGTAATGATTATTGAATGGGACTTGTACAAACAAACTGTTGAGGAAAAAGCGCAAAAAATTTTGGCAACTTAGCTATGGTCACGCATATTTTTTATTTCATTTAACTTTATTAGTTGTTCTGATAGTGCGGTTATTAAGTTAAAATTTAAATGTGTATTTAAAATCAATGTAATCAATTAATATATTATCACTTAAATAACAACTTTAAAAGGTTAACAAAAAGTTACAAAAAATTAACAAAAAGATTTTCCTTATAAAAAGACTTAAACAAAGCTGTACTTATAAAAAGATTTTAACAAACTGTTTTAACAAGCTATTGTGATTCTTTTGTGAATTTCTTTTGTACCATAAAATATACATTTAGTTAATTCGAGATGCAGCTAAGAAGTATGATTTATCAAAATCTACAGTAGGTAGAGCTGTAAAAAAGGCAAGATCTCTAAAGGTGCCAGAAAATTTTAAATACATTGCAAATATAGAAAATAAAAATTTTTTTCATGCTTCTAATGAAAGTGCTTTTGTAGATTATTTGCATATGTCTTTAAATATGTGTTATGGTTTAACTAAACTACAAACTAGGCAGTTAGCTTACAAGTATAGTGTTACATTGAATTTAAAAAGTTTACCTCAGAGCCGACGACACGGGTTTCGAAGTGGCACAACTGTTAATTCATAAAAAATGTCAAGTCTTAAAAAAAATTATCTAGAATTTTCTTATATTTCAAAAAAAAAAAAAAGGTCCTTTAGAAAAAAAAAAGGAGGGGGGAGGCACGTGCCCTCTTAGCCCCCGTGTTGTCGGCCCTGTACCTGATTCATGGCACTTAAATAAAATGGCAGGAAAGCAATGGATGGACAGTTTTTTGATGCGTCATCAAAAGTTATCTCTACAAAAACCAGAAAAAATCAGCCTTGCTCGTGCAACTGCCTTTAATGAACATACTGTGTCCATGTTTTTTGATAATTTGTTAGAAATTCAATTAAAATACAAGTTCAAACCTGAATGTATTTTTAATGCAGATAAGACAAGGTTATTAACAGCTACAGACCCTCCAAAAATAATTTCAACTCGTGGAGCTAAGCGAGTTTGTCAAGCTGTTTCAGCAGAAAGAAGGTCGTTGGTGACGATGTTAGCTTTCGTGAATGGTATGGGTAATACAGTTCCACCTGTATTTATATTTCCAAGAGTACACTACAAGGGTTTTATGTTAAGTGGAGCACCAATAGGAAGCTTAGATCTGTGTAACAAAAGTGGTTAGATGACGTGACAACTTTTTATTTGCAATAAAGCACTTTGTATCTCATACTAAGCCATCTGCAGATCATCCAGTGCTGTTATTAATGGACAACCATGAAAGCCACATTTCATTTGAATTAATACGATTTGTAAAAAACGAGTTCATTGATTTTGTTAACATTTCCGCCACATTGCAGTCATAGATTACAGCGATAAGATGTTTCAGTATTTGTACCTTTTAAAACTTATTGGCTCAGAATGAATGGTTGACTTCCAATCCAGGGAGGATTATGAACATTTATAATTTACCTCAACTAGCTTGTACAGCATATAATATGTCATTCACAATAAAAAATGTTTGCAGTGGGTTTCAGAAATGAGAGATCTATCCACTCAATAGACAAATATTTGGGGAAAGCGATTTCATACCATCAAGTGTTAGTGGCAGACCTCTTTCAGTCAAACAGTCAGAAATTCAAAAACCAGATAATCATTTAAACAAAAAAAAATCAAACTCATTCTTCAGAATTGTCAGTCAAAATAGTTAGTCTGGAAACCATTCATCCATACCCTAAAGCACCTTCCAGAAAAGATTCTAGAAAATAAAGACAACCAGGTAAAAGTACTATATTAACTAAAACTCCAAAAAAGACAGTAAATGAGAGAAAAAATGTTGAAACTGGTAAAAATAACATAAAAAAAAATTAAAAAAAAAAAATTGATTTCAGAAAAGTAAAAGAAACAAAAAACTCTGTAGATTTTTTAATTGTGTCATCTGTAAAAAATGCGCCCATCAACGAACCACAACAAAATATTTGCAAAATATGCAAATGCAAATGGAAATATTTTGTTGGACCTGCTTGGATTCAGTATTTCACTTGTCAATAGTGGATATGTGGTAGTTGTAATAGCAACAGCAAGAAGTGTTACTATGAGTGCGAGTTATGTGAAGTTAAATGTTAATATTTTCTAGACTTCCTTTAATATACTAAATTTTTACTGCTTAATATTTCGCAAAAGCAAAATGCAAAATTTTTTACAAATGTTTAAATTTTTTATAACTAATAAGTTGCTTTGTTGTCGAGTTTTTTAAAGTGAATTAGATACTAAATAAGCAAATAATTACTTTATATTAACGGAAATATATCCTTTACTAC